ACACTAACATTTGGTGCAGACCCTAATAAAATACTACACACTCCAACACTTCCTTTTGATAGCTGAGAAGTATGTAAAACCGTTCTTCATTAAATTTAAATGGACTCATTAATAAAATATTGAGGATGTGCTACTTTAAGACATCAGAAAAAGAAAAAAGTATAAATTGGTGATAACATTATTTCTATTTTTAAATACATCCCACTGAGGCACCCAAGATAGATGAGAAGTGCTAAGCCCATCCCACAAGCTTGCTTATTTATTTAATACTTCTTATGTGCTATTTTTAACTGCAGAAGGCAGCAAAAGGCATCCATTAGAAAAATTACATTGATGGAGTCTTCCTCACAAAGGTTACACAAGTGAGATATCTGGTTGAATGCAGTGTTAAGAGATGTGTTTTTCCTCCATTTCCTATAGGTTGTTGAAATAAAAAAGCAATTTTATTTTTTCAGCATCAGCTAGGCCAGAATCTGTATCTGCAAACCTCTGTCAGTCCTTACTCCCCAGTCCCCTCTTCCCACTGCACCACTTCCCACAACGTTTAATTTTGTAAGTAATACAGGGTTTGAATGCATACACAACATGCTTACCACACAGGGACAGTTAAAATGTAGATGTATGGGTTTGGGTTTTCTAAGCCTCAGTTGTGCACATAGAATATAAATGAGGAAATGCCATAGTCTCATAGTATTGCGTCATTTTGCAAAAAACCTCTTCCTTCGGGAAAGGAAAAAAATAGTTTAAAATTTTCCATTTTTTCAACAGAGTTGGTGAGCTAGAAATCAAAGGAAAAACGTCCCATTTTGGTCTGTCCCATCACAAATACAAGTTTTCATGTACAAAAAAGCCAAAGCTACAGTCAACTTAGGAAAAAAAAAAAAAATCTTGATTTCTACATGTCATCTTCCTAGATGGTTGCTTTCTTTAGGGAAATACAGTGTTTTAATGCACAGCATGAGAAGTAAATTTGCCCTTTTCCTCCCATTTGAAGAAACAAAGCCTAAACTCCTAGGAGGCACTCCAGCACCCTCGAGCAGTTTCTAGCAGGGTTTCTGGTGGACCAGAAGACAAAATTGCACATAGACATTTAGATGTTATTTCAGGAGGCTCTGCAAGCATTTTGATTCTCATCCTAATTTTGCTACAGAAGACACAGCCTGAACTGGATATGTATTTGCTGCCCAGCCAGATAAACAGCTACAGACAAAAGAAAGGGTACAAAAGATGAATTTCAGAGGTGACACAGGTCCTCTGCCACGTTCCAGGTTCCCATGCAGAGCCCAGGGCAGGGTGGAGGTCAGACCAAGCTGTGCAGGGCATGGCACTGCTCAGCAGTTACAAGGGCAAATCTAGGCAGTGGTGTAAGTCAGGTAAGCACAAGACTGGATAGTTGATACATATGCAGCAGCTGGATTTCTTAACAGCTATTTTCCCTTCTTTCTAAATTTTGCACAAAGCAAGTTTTTTGTAAACAAGAACATGGAGGTTTTTGATGTCACTCAGAACAAGGACAGTTTGTTTGTTCTACCTGCCTGAAGAAGAGCTCAGTTTGCTGAGAGTAAGCGTTACTGAGCCCATAAATGGAAGGCTTTTATTCCTAATCTATTCATACATGGCATTAATAATGCTTGATGACTAAGAAATACTTGAATTTCTAAAAGAAGGAGCTTTCTCCATAGTGCAAAGGTCACACTGCACTGAGAACCATGCAAGCAGACTATACATGAAGAGTGTCATCAACAGAAAGTTAAATAAAAAGCAAGTAGTAACAATTTTGTGGGTATAAAAATCACTCCTAAGCTCAAGAACCTGGATAAATATTCAAAACATTCTCTGTATTTGGAATCCAGCCTCAAGCCAGGCCTGGCTTGGGCAACAGAGCCTCTGATTCAAGTTTGATTCCTCAATTATTTCTGAAATATTCTGAATATTCTGCATGTGGACCTCAGAAAGCAGACTATAGTCTGCCAGTAGTAGGCAGGCCCCCAAGCAAACTGTCTGCTGAAAAGCCAAATTTAAGAGTTCACATACTTCTTCCCCCTTAAGTATTACATTCAATGACATTAAACGGCTAATTTCCAGGGCACAGCATCCATCCTACATTCCTCAGGCTGCCCAAAGAGAAGAAATGAGAGTTATTTACCCAGTTTCAGATTTTTACTTGCAACCAAAAACCCCTGGGACTTAAAGCCTGAAACGCGCTTATGAAGTCTAAGCTTAATAAGCAATTATTCAAGAAACTAAGAAACACTATTTTCAAAATTTGGGAGTGTTGAAACTATACATCACACATCCTCTCTTCTCACAAGCAAGGAACATGGACACACAAACGACTCCATCTCTGAACGCAAAGACAGACTTAAAACTTCCAGGGAGGCTTAAATTGCTTAAACTTTCCCATTTGAATAAAATCCTCCTCTGCAATTACAAGTTGTTATGCCACTTAGGAGAGGAAGCAGAGACCTAACATGTCAAACAGCTTCTTTGCATGACTTGATGCCATATATTTAACATTTCCCCTGCAAGTGCTGTTCATATGTACACTTGTGCAAGATTTAAAATGCATACATAATCTGATGCCATCAAAATAGCTCATTACCAGGGCCTTGTCAAATTCCATAATCATATTATACAAATAATATCCCTCTCACTGCAAAAGCATGCTCATGATTCAAATTTTCATTTACTAAAATAATTACGTCTCTATCAGTCTACTGTGTATGGTCACAAGCAGACTCAGACCCTCACTGCAAAGAGTGAACATTGACACACTAAGAGACAAATCTTTAGGCTAAGCTGAAGTCTGATCTGGAGAGCAACTCCAAGTAGTAAGAGGCCATAGTGGAAGGTAATCTGTATTTGTTAAGCTTATACCATATATAACACTGAGTTTTTCTGCCCACTGCTACTTTTATTTTCACAACTAAGCAAAACAATGCAGGGACCACCTTAGGTCTGCAAATACTCAAACTCTGAGATACTATTTCCATTTATCTGAATGGTGACTTAAAATGAACAGTAACTTCAGTTATCCATTTTACCAGACCCCTCTCACCTACACAATTCCCTCCAGCTCACAAACTGCCTAAATGCCCAGTTTCTTCTGGGACATTTTTAGCAATATAGATGTTTTGGAAGACAAAAACCCAGCAACAGTATCAATTCCAGAAGGAGACTATTCTGTTGTTTGCTGGACACAGAATAAATATAATGCACTGTTTAAAATACTGTATTGATACGTAAAATCAATCAGCCTGGTAGGTAATTTAGGATTTCCAGATTCTGACCAGTTTTATGAACTAGTGCAAGGAAGGAAGCATGGTAAGACAAACACAGTCAGAAAAGAGGTCTTCTCATATGAGTTCCATGCTAGGCAACTTGACTCCTTCCTCTCTCTTTTAGAAACGTTAGCTTATAGTAGGGAAAATATTTTTCTCTCTCCAATGGATTGGGCTTAGAATGTATACAGACCTTCAACAGGTGTGTCAAAGAGGAGACCTGAGATCTTGACATTGGCAGGTTCTGGAAATAATTGACAAATTCCTCTTTAAAACTAAGCTACCACAGAAACTATTTCCATATGCATAACCATCCTTGACAAAACCTCCCTCATTATCAGTCAAACCAGCAAAACACAAACCTCCTTGAAAACAAACAACAATCTGGAAGACCACAATAGACTGTCCATGAATTATGGAAAAAGCCAGGTTGTGTTGCAGCACTGGAAGTTTCCACCTTGAAGCAACATTTCAGACACCGACTGCTCAACAGAAGTGGGGAAAACAACACATTAAGCCAGAAATACTAGTAATGTTTCACACTTTTGTGTGGGAAAAGACAGACAGATCCCCAAATCCACTCCTTCCAAACCAGATACATCATCAGCTGTGACTTCTTAAGGAACCTTAGCTCCTAAACACCAATAAAAGAAAATGAAGAAAAATAAAAAAGCAGTATGAGAGTCAATCTCATGAAGACTAGTTACCCTGGAAAGCAATGTATGTGATCTTCCAAATCATCCTTTTTCTCCTCCCAGGAGACCCCAGTCAGCACATATATAGTGTCTTTTATTTGGTGCAAGCCTCTTCATGCCCCTTCTGGAACAGAGGATACTAAGCAGAGCCTAACCAAAACACACGCCTGCTTCAGTTTCATGCTTTTTGTTATGGGTTGGTGGGTGATTTTTTTTTTTTTTTTTGGGGGGGGGGCGGCTTGTGTTGGGATTATTGGTTTGGTGGTGGGTTTTTTGGTGAAGGGTTTTTTTGTTTGTTTTTAATTTAATCCTGATTGGTTTGGGTTACTGAACCTACAAATCCATTCAATTTTTTTTATTTTTTTTTAAATGGGCAACTTGAACTGTATTTCAATTAGGAATACAGGGAAGTAATTAATTTCAGAAGTGTGGAGTGAGGGAGAACAGTGTTTAAAAAAACAGAATTCAGAACAACAGAGTGAAGGGGAAAGCACCTGAAATAAGTGCTACAGTTTATCTCATACAAGATCTTACAGCAGATTGCCAGCAACAAGTTTTTGGCAAAATTTTTCATCCTCTTCAGAAAAGAAACTTTAAAAACCCAACAATTCAAGCACTAAAGAAACCTGTAAAATCGGGGGAGAAAAAAAAAAATCTACTCCCTTAAAAAACAAGGCTGGAAATAAACTTGAGAAAATTGTGCCTTCAAGCATCCAGGTGTTTCAAGAGATTACAGAAAGTCACAAGTGTTGCCTAGAGAGATCAGACACTTAAACTGTGCATTACACCATGTACCAGATTACACATTCAAATTTAGGTAACTACAGAAAGGTAGCTTTTCTTGGTCCCTCTACATACTAACATGATTTTGCTTTGAAACACCAATTAGAAAGACGTGCATACTGAAATACAGGTGTTTTAAACTATTGCATACATGTCTAAATTAGTTTTCAGGTTAAAAACTCATTTGCCTTAACCTACTGTTACACTTCTCATGGGCCACATCCATCTTAGATGAACCTACCATGTGGTAGTGTTATGTTTGCACCATCAATGATTGCTTGTGCCAGTTCATGATCATTGCTCTCGAAAGCATGTGCAGCAGCCTTGAGGGCATCCCAAATCTCCTTTCGACCTTCGAAAGCTGGTGCTGTGTCCCAAAATTCGTCTCTCTTACTGCGCAACTGTCCGTCAGTCATGGGGTAATCACTTTTCCATTTTGGTTTCTCTTTTTTCAAGGGCTGATTACGACCAAGAGCAACTGCAGAGGAGAAAGAGGAAAGGAAATTAAAAAAAGGTAACAAAAAAAAAAAGCACAAAATTACTGAAGTCCCCTTTGGTTATTCTGTTTAGGATCCATGAAGCTGAAGTTTACTTTGGGGCAATCCTGATACTTTCCTTCCATCTCCTCCAAGATAGCACCTCCCATCCCCTGGGGCTCCAAGTTTCACCTCTTACCAAAATTGAGGGGCTGCTTCCTGCTTGCTGATTTTACCTGCACCCCTGAGCACCGCACAACTGCTCCCCAAGCTGCCCGGTGACACTGCATCCCTCTGCCTGTGCCCTGTGTGCCTGGCTGGGAGGCTCACACCCAACACAGACATCTTCCAAAGGCTGCAGCAGTGGTACAGCGAGATGCCTGTTACCCCAACATCAGGGTGCAGTGAGACCACACTGCATCTAGATACCCACTCTACATTGCTAGCAACACACTCCGCTCAGCAAACGTGATACTCTGTTAATACAAGCGTTTTAAGAGGCTAAAGATTTTTTTTTCATCATCTCCTTTTAAACAGTTTTAATTCAGAGTAAGTATATGTAGAAAGGCAAATAAGATGCGCAAATGCTAGAACTGTCAGAGACAGAAATCCCTAAAGAATAATCCATGAATCCATCAAGCTTTAAAAAGTGGTTACCTCATTCATAATAAACACAAAAGCATTTGTTTCATTTTAACTACAGCTATTTTTGTGTAATAGCCAGTTAAGGTAATAACACAGGTATAATGTTGGTGGATTAAAACTACCTGCTCACTTTAAATTATAGCATTGCTAAAACTGTGCTAACCCTTTCTCTTCCATTTGTGTGAGGGGGTTATTTCAAATTCCAGTGGGAGGAAAGGCAAAAAGAAAGGAATAAACTTCAGTGCAGACCAGGAAAAATTTCTCCCTACGAGAGTTAGCACCCCATTTCCTTCAACCCCCTTCTGACAGCCTCTGCAATGGAACCCTGAGAGGATGAGAGCAGTGACAAACCACAAAAACAGTTCTCACCACGCCTCAGTACCACAAAACTCTGAATACATACTTTAAATGTCTCCAGAGGAAATGAAGTGTCCTTCAAAAGTTAAACTAAATTTAAGTGTGTTTGCAGCTGAAAATAAGCAACCTCTCCATAGGACAGGTCATAGAAACTGGGTGATGGGTAATGAAGGCTTTTGCAAAACAGGTAAACTACACAGGACTGAAGTCAATTAGGGATCCCATCACACATGATGCTGGAGAGCCACGCTCTCCTACGCTCTCCACAAAGAGCCCACGCCACCCCAAGTGAGCAGAGAAACCCCAGCTGCCATCAGTCCAGGGAAGCATGAAGAGATGCAGTCTGTCACCCCACACCCATGTTACCAAGGCTGAAATCTCTTACAAGAATGAGACATCACAGCTGCTGTGATATCAAAGCCTGCAGAGCAAAACTGCTGCTTATCAGGTGCTCCTGGATAGTCTGCAAGGATGGCAGAGAACCAGGACAAATATTTAGTATTCTCTATCTTATGTACATCCTTAGAGATAATAAGAAACATTTCCTTTCTCCAGACGCTCATTTTTCTGAAAGTTGACAATAGCTGACAAAAAAAACTTGTACTGCTCCTCAATCTTAGTATAGAGCTCAGAAATAGTGTAATGTCTAAATATTCTTCATAGTTCTGAGTCTAGACTCACACTGTATCTCTACAGTTAACTACAAACCGTATTTATGGCAAAGAGCATGTGTGGGGGTGAGGGACATGACTAAAAATAAATGTCCATATATCAGAAATACTTATTTCAAGTAAGCTGTAACATTTTGAAAAAAAAAACAACCAGTATTTAATTCAAATATTCTCTCGCCCTCCTTGATTTCTTTTCTGCCACAGATGCACTCAACTGTTTTGAAAACAGCACTTGACACCAAACATTGGGTCTCAGGGTTGACCATCACTGCCTGGTGTAGCAGCAGACATTTCAACTTCACACAGGTTTTAAGGAGACCAAAACACATACACCAGGCTACATCTCGTGCCCTTACACAATCTGACTTTATATGACCAAAAAACTACCTACTTCAATTCATAACTCAGAATTGACATTCACATTTAAAAAGCTGAAACTTAAGTCTTTGAAAATAGGATATTTGAAAGAACTTCTGATAGTAAGGTGACACTGCCAACTATGTGAAAGCATGAACCTTCTTCAGATTAAAAATACTGTAGTAGAGGATATATTTGCATGGAAACAAAGTCAGATCATAATTAAAAGTAGCAAATGACAATTGCATGGCACACATACAATGACTCCAGCTGTTATTCTGTATCCCATGCAGAAACTAACAATAATAAACTTCTGAATCCTTTCAAGTGACCACAAACGTTTATTGCTTTTTGTTTCCATGGACTGCTTCCATGAGATTGCTTCCATTTGCTTTTCAAAGAACTGCTGACCATTTAACAGATTTCAGAACAGCAAACCCAAGTGTTTACAAAACACCAAGTTTCCTGGCAAAGCACAGCCTTTACTAGTCCAAGTCTCAGCTGAGTACACGCAAGCTGGGAGCAGATAATAGTCCAGCCTAGAACAATGGTGAAGGAGGCAGACCAGACAAGATGGACTGCATGCATTAAGCAGTATATTATGAAATTGTAAAAATGTGGTAAAACACTTAAACAAGGAATTGCTTCCTTATTAAGGCTCAGCAGTCAGAGCATGAAAATTTCAGACAGACTGACTGTACAAGACACTAAGAAATTCGGGTCAGTGGGCATCTTTTCTTCCATTCTACTTCAGCTAACATCTGTTTGCCTGTACATTCAATGAATGCTAGTTTATCCCACAGGGTCCTCTTCTCCTCCCCAAATATTAATTATGAAAGTGGGTTAAAGCACTTCCCTGCAGTCCCTGAGCATGGTGGTGTTTCCTGCACACAGCCCTGCCTGCCTGCCACCCAGCACCATCACAGAAACTGCCATTTCTCTCCCTCGCTTCCCCCTTTGCCCAAGACAGCATCGAAATATATTGCTCTTCACTAGGCAAGAATAGCAGGGGAGAGACTATAGAGACGGAGATCCTAACAGTCTTAAATAACTTCTCCCTGGAGATACAATCCTTTCTACACAGACAGCAGTGATGATAAACCTAGCGATAAATTCTTGTTTTCAAGTTGGAAGGAAGGATGGTGGAAGAAAGTAACTCTACAAATACCTCTAAAGCCAAATGCACTCTAACAAGCCATCCATCCCAGTACTAAGCCTTTAAACACAACTTGGCTTCACAAGCTAGTATTTAAAAAGGTCTTTAGCATGTTTACATTTATTAGAAGTGCTTCAAGAATCCCTTAAAAACTTTATGCCCCCACGAAGAAGTATTCATCTCTCTCTAGCTGTGTAGATAGATGGAGCAAAGGGACACAAAAAACTTAAAACATTTAAAAAACTTAATGTGTGGAAAGGCTTCAATCTCCCACTTTTCGCCTCATGTTTTAGATACTAGAGAGAAACACAGCTACATGAATTTCTACAGTCAAAGTTTTGGACCACATCAAAAGATTTTTCCCTTTTCTGTAATAAGGCTGATAAAGATTAGTCAGAACAGACAATGAAACAAACATCAGCAGTCTGAAACATTTTGTCAGGTATTTACAGTGTCAGTTTTCTATTCCTCACTTTGGAAGTAAACTAGTCCTCAAAAGAAGATGTTGACTTCAATTAAGACCATGCACATCAGAGGCACAACCAGCTTGCAAGATCTGGAAAAAAAGTAACACACATTAATTTTTCATCTTGCAGCACTTCAACATAAGAAATTATTAATATCCTCCTTGAAAATATGAATAGTTTTATAAATGCCAAAAAGGCATGTTCTTTCTGAAGCAATACTGAAAGTTGCCCATCTCAATGATGGCAATGGTTGATATTTTTGGCAAGAGATTCATTCAGAATGAAATCTGAAGCCCATTAACAGTCTATTTGTCAAAAAGGAAAAGACCGGCACATTAGTGACACTTCGAAATAATTTAGGCTGGTTTTGCTCCAATAGCTCACAGATATTCAGGTGGTGCTGTGCATCCCAAAGAGTGGTAAGAAGTTGCTGACAACCTCCAGGACCTTGCTTAAGAGCAGCTTTTCTCAGGGAGAAGGCCACAAAGGATTTTCCTAGGCTGGTCAGAGGGGTTACTGTGAAGAGATTACAGATGGTCTTTATCCTCCCGGATACTGGACCTGTTCTAGCCAGAGTTGCCTTAAAGATGCTACCTACACTGTTTCTCTCCCTTCCAGTCCAAATTACACCTCCTATTTGCGTGGTACACAGAGCACAAACTCCAAACATCATTTCTAGGACTTGCTAAGGTCCATTCAGGTTAACAGCATCAGAAGCAGTAGCTAAGAAAGTAAGAAGTCCTGATAATTACTAGCTGCATCATGAACTTTCTAGGGGTCAGCATGCTTAAAAGAAGAAATCCAAACCTATCTAGTTAGGCATTCCAGAACACAGCACAAGGCTGGAACAGGAGAGGGAACAAGAATGGAGTTCACTGGAGAAGCAGACAAGGAGAGAGGCAAGTCTCATCTGAACTCAGTGTCCACTCATCTGGCATGTCTGCCACACAGGTGTCCCCACACATGCAAAATCCAAGCACTACTCAAGCCCCCTTCCCTAGTCAAGCATCCTTTATTAGACCGTTTAATAACTCAAAGTGACCTAAAAATAGCGGCAGACAAACAGTTGGCTGTTTCTGTCCCATTAGTAGCATTTGGCAGCATAGAATGTTTTCCCTTCACAGGTAGGGGAGCACCCTGGGATCCTCAAGATAATGACTAATGTCCGTCCCCCCCTTAGCTCCTGGCAAACTACAAACTACTATTTTTCATATGGAAATATGTATTTCTCCAGTCCTTACAGACTATTTTATAACCCAAATTATGAAGGTTTGTTTCCCTTTCCCACAGCTTCCCAAAGCCATGGAATTAGTAAGGTTATCTACACTTCTTTTGAGTGAGCTTACGCA